ATGACCTAATATCACCTATCCAAACTGAGATTTTTAGTATGAATTACTCTTATTTTCGACTATATCACGTAAAGTGACGACTCAAGTAATAAAACTGTCAAGAAGCGAATACGCCTAGCTGGAATTACAATATTTTGGCATCATTCAAGCGAAACATGTTTTGTGTTCTGTTAGACACTTGTGCCTTCTCTTTTATTGAAATCTAAACGGGGGGTTCGAATCTCAAATGGAAAGACAGACTCACTAAGGACTATTGTCCCTCAAAATTGTCACTAAATAATATTAGGGTCGTCGTCTTGTTTGGTTCAGACGTTGGTCATTCGACAAAATAAGGTCATAAAACTTTTGTATGTTTTATTGCCTGAGCCGCCACTTTAAATGGCACGGACTTTACGTCCATTCTCATACATAGTTTATTGTGAACTCTGTCAATTTTGATCGTCCCAACTATGGTATTGAAAATCTATACGAGATCTACGTCATAAAATATAAAATTATCGAGCAATAAATCTGACACTCGATCGGGGTCGATAATTTCTGGATCTTTTGCTTGAGGTCATAAATAAATGTTAATAAACACATAATACCTAACCAAAGGATTTTGTAGGAAAACCTTGTAGGAACTTGCTCATTTTTTAAATATTGGAGCTTTTGTAGACTAATAGTGGTGTTTGCACTATACTTTTCTATTAGAAGTGATTGAAATATAGTTTTTCTATCTTTATGTTATAATTTCTTCAGTTAAGCAAGAAATAATTCGTCTATATGCTGCCTTATTTGGCTTTGTCACCCGTTTTCAATTAGAAAAAAGACACTGATGCCAAAATAGCTCATTTACCGTGAAAGATCAGAGCCAAAATAGGTTTACAAATAATTTTATTGATGTTAAATCAACATCAGTCAATTTATATCAAAATGGTTACAACCCCATTTTGTTTCTCACCTTTTACACATTGTAATAAGAGAAAGAAATGGAATCCATAGTTTCTTTAGCTTTGGGTTCATCTAATAAGTGAGGTTTTTCGAATCGTTTTCTATGAATTTTGGATTATACGCATTTATTAGCAGACCACAATTTTCAGTTTTTCACAGCTGACGTATATCAATTCGATATTGTTTTGCGGGCTATTTTGTTGTAATTCATAGAATTTCGTTGTTCCTTGCTAAAGGTACGATAAGTGGTGATTTGGCAGATGCTGATATCAGTTTGGAACTGCAAAATTCCATGAACAATGACATTAAACCCGGAAAACAATATCGATCCAATATTTTAGATTATCCATTTTCAAGGGGTTTAGAATCTTTTAGGTTCTCTTCAGTTGAAGATTTAGAAGGCATTCATGGAATGTCTCTTTGTCCCCTTTTTAAGCTTCTAATACCTTCAATGGTCAATGTGAGAAACTTTCATTCATCACTTTATAAGTTTAATGTTTTATCGGCGATACTAGCAAAACTTTTAACGGCAAAAATATATTTGGCATTTTACAAATAGAAAATACGTTTGGAAAAATGATTTTCTTGAGAAAGTATTTAAATGCAAGAAAAAAACGTAACCATGCTGACATCAGACAGTTTTTGTAAATATTAATTCACTGATAGATATTGTTTATATGAATTAAACACTACAGAGTAATAAAAAAGAAAATTTGTAATTTGTGTAAAGTTTTTAGATAACCAATTTAAGCTAATCTCTACTCCTATAGCCGTGTTTAAAATTCATGGAGTAAAATTTCTTCATGTAACAGAAGAATAGACAGAGACTGTAATTCTCTACAACTTCGCTTTTATATGGCAGTTAGCAAACTACTTATGAAAGTCATTATCGGTTATAAAATTCTAGCGACATCATATCGTAATTTCTCGTGTTATAAAGTTTAATGAAACCCTATATTAGCTACCCTACTTGTTTGCACATCATATTGAACAAAAATAGCTGTATGCAAAAAAATAATTATCTGATAAGCCGAAGCTTAAAATATTTCATAAACACGTTACTACATTTACGCATACATAAAACTAGCGCCGCTGATAAGGGGATTTAAAAATGACCTTTGAAATTTCCATATAATTTTGGACTAAAATTGCGACAACTAAAGTTTAGATTGTTTAAAATTTTAATAAAGTTTCTCAATTTCAAGGTTTGGTACTAAAAAAGGTAAAAGGGGACCTTCATGGTGAGCCTTCTATATCTGCCTTTGTCTACCCATATGTCGTAGTTGATTATCGCACAAATATATCAATGAAATCGACTTGAAATTAAACAATTAGATTATGTACTTATTTTTGTTTTCTTTTCTATTTATGACCAAATACGAACGAAAAATTTCACCCCGTATTCCTTCTCATATCTCAAAATTACTATTTCACATCCTAATCCTTTTGGCAGTTATCCATTGCTTCTTATTGATTCAAAAAATTCGCAGAGAAATAATTAAGACGTATACTACTTTAAGGTGCTTCTGTCTGGATGTAGATGCGTCGAATTAGATTGTTGGGATGGTGAAGACGGCTATCCAATGATATATCATGGGCATACATTTACTACTAAAATTCCATTTTCGGCAGTGGTCGAAACAATCGATAAAAATGCCTTCGTCGTGTCTCAATATCCCGTCATATTGTCTATAGAAAATCATTGTTCTTTACAGCAACAAAATAAAATGGCACAAATTTTTCAGGTATACACTATCCCTATTGTAGCATTATAACCAACGAAATTATTTACTTTCGTATTTTTTTTTCTTGCAGAGAATTTTTAAAGATAAACTGGTGTCTAATTTTTTATTCGAAACAGATTACAGTGACGATCCGTCACTGCCATCACCTGAACAATTAAAAAACAGAATTCTCATAAAAAATAAGAAACTTATTGCAGAAGTTCCTAGCACGCTATCGAGCTATCCGCCGACTTCAACCCCCATCAGGTACAATGCATATAATAATTACTATTTTCGGTTCCCTCCTGTGGGGTGCATTGTCCATTTCATATAAAATCAACCTTTTTCTTGAATGCATAAAGCAGATTGCTTGATTCACAAAAAGAATTACAAAAAAGAAATCATTCATAATGCATAATTCATGACAAAAATAAAATTTGTTTCCTTTCTTACAGAACTGGCATTCGCCATTCTGTACCAGGTCGAACAAGTTCTATAATTAGTAATGCCAGTAGTAGTTCGTTTAATGAAGATTTTAGCGACGATGATTTTGACGATGAAGACGATGACGATAATGTAGATGGTAAATATTGATTTTATTGCTCACAGTAAACGGTGCTTCTAAAAGAATTGTTTCTATTGTCCAGAGAAACCCATTCATACCATTTTAACCATGAGCGAGTCTCCAAGAACTTACGGTCCTCACACGTCCTCAAAAACTAGCTCAACGAAAAGACCCATGCCAGATGATAAATCAAAAAAGAGAAGTAACCAGATATCTAAGGAACTTTCCGATTTAGTTGTTTATATACAGGTAAGTTGCTTATTTCATGCTAATAAGGGGTGTGCCTTTAAATTTTGGGAGAGCGAGGAGATATGAAAAGCTGTATCAATAAATGGGTTTTCTTTTATATCAAGTCCAGATTCCACAGGAACTTTACGAAGTCTCACAAACTTGCACTCATCCAGCGTGGTTGGCGCAAATGTTTGAACGAATGAATTTTAATCAGTATCAACTTAGTTTCTAATTGCACCTACATAAACAACACTTTTTATAAGACTTTCTACTTATCAGATAGCTCCTATAGTACACATATTAAATTATTCACAATATACCATTTCATGATATCCTCGGAAATAAGCTTAAAACTGAATGGAGCCGTACGATGATCTATGTATAAAACATAAATTTAAAAGGATCCAGGGGGAAGAGGCTTCAACCATCTTTGAATAAGTCTCAGATATTGTTATGACTTTTATCTGTTCTGTATCATCAATTAAAAAAGATTCTGCATCATAATTGAAACTCTAGATATGACAAATATTCATCATCATCATCATAAGGTCGTCAGTAAAATATTAACCACCTAAATAGCAGCTTTGTAAAGGCTTTGTTAATGCCGAAAGCTCTAAAACATCTTTTTCTTTTCTGTAATTTTAGTTCCCAAAATTAGTCATGCAGTCACCCCTGTTATTTTTTATAGGCCATAAAATTTCGTGGTTTGAACACAAGTCCAAGCAACTCGGTTAAACAACGCACCAGGTCATCGGGCGTATCCAATACTGGTAGTTCCGTGGTTTCAAACGCGAGCGGTTCTACCGGGGGTGGATCATCCGAATCTGACGTAACGGTGGTTGAAGGGGACGTTAAACAAATACGATCCACTCACCCCTGCTACCAGTGTTCGTCCATAAACGAAAATGCAGCAAAGAAACTTTGCCGGAAACAACCTCTCACGATTGTTGCCCATACGCAAACTCAGCTCATGAGAACGTATCCGGCCGGCATGAGAATCGATTCGTCCAATTTCAACCCTCTAATTTTTTGGTCGTTTGGTATCCAAATGGCGGCTTTGAATTATCAAACCGACGACGTTCCACAACAAATCAACACGGCCATGTTTGAAATGAATGGAATGTGCGGTTACGTCATTAAACCCAATGTTATGTGGGACAAGTCTCATGTGATGTATCGACGTTTCAATCCTTGGGAAAAGGAATTCGAAGGGCTGCATTCATGCCAAATAGTTTTAACAGTCGTTTCGGGACAGTACATTTGTCCCAATAACTTCAATCTCAGCACTTACGTGGAAATAGAAATAATAGGAATACCCGTAGATTGTAACAAAGTCAAAACAAAGGTGGTTCAAAAGAATACTTTGAACCCCATTTGGAACGAAACCTTTAATTTCCGCATCAACTTCCAAGATTTATGTTTTCTGAGGTTTTCGATAATCGACGCGAGCAGTAGTCATCTGCTCGCCCAGCGAATACTCCCAGTGAAACGGCTCAAACCAGGATATAGACATTTGAGGCTTAGGAATCCTCAAAACCGGCCTCTCAACATGTCCACTCTTTTCCTTTATTCTCACATGGAAGAAGAGAGCATAGATAACCACGGTAGTAAAAATATCTTATCCAAATCCAAACGAGAATCTTGTATGCAATCGAACCCGAATATAAATGCCATATTGGGTGCTTCTACGTCTCCAATTTGCGTTAAACGGAGAATGTTCTTCCTTATGGTTTACGGCGTTATCTCCGATGAACCTTACACGATTCTTAAAGTTACTCAGGAAAGCACGACAAGGGATGTTCTACTTTTGGCCCTTCAGAAAGCCAGTATACCTACGACACGAATTAACGATTTCATTTTGGTCGAAGAAGTGGCCAGAGGTTGGGAAAAGAAGGACCACGACCTTCCAGCCACCCAACGAATATTGGATCTGGATGAGAGGCCTCTGCAAGCCCAATCCCAATGGAAAGGTGAAGGAAGGTTTATTTTGAAGAGAATGGGCGATGACCCTAGCAGTCGAGCTTGGTTGTCGTCCATTCGCAGTGTAGCAAATAGAGAAAGGGAGGCGAGAAAATCAGATGGAGCTCCAAGTAACGCCTGGGAAGAAAACGACACCTTCCTCGTCTGTATTTACAACGTATCTCCAGAAATACCGTATTGTATTCTAAAAGTACCATTAAACGCTTGTGCCCAAGACGTATTAGCGCAAGCATTGGTAAAGGCTAGAAGACTGGAAGATCCAATGAACTACGTTATAGTAGAGGAACTGGAATGGGGGGGAGCATCACACAACGTCCAACAAAGAGCCCTTGCCGACGATGAAAACGTGTACAAAGCACAATCTCATTGGCAAACCATAGGCAGGTTCATTATGCAAGAGAGGACTAAAGTAACTCCGACTTCCTTACGAAAAAATCGCGTCACAACCAGTTTTCGTTCGGTAACGTTGGATAAGATTAGTCGTGGATTTACAGCAGCTCGAAATGCTGCAAGCAGTAGCATGAAACCGCCAGTTCAAGCTGCCTTGAGTGATCCGACCACTTCGAAAATAAAGAAACTCAACGACGACTCTAAAATGAAGGGACTTTTGCGAAGCAAAGCCAATTCGGAAAAAGAGACTTTACAACACAAAACTCAGTGCCAGCGCGAAGTGCATTCAGAAGGCGAGACTCTCAGCGACGAAGAAACGAAAGATTCCGATCTGGTGACCGCAATGACCCGATTGAAAAGGATTTCTATTCGAAAATTCAAGGAATGGAAGTCATGACTTTTGGATTACTTGCCGTAGAGTTTTTGATCTAGTCAATTTAGAACCAAAAGTTAGATTTTACTATTAATTAATTTGTTTCTCAAGCTTTAAGACCTGTACCTACTTAATATATTGTTGAACTTATTGTTGTTACATATATTTATAAAAAAATAGATATTAACATAAAATACCTTGAATCTAAGAGAGGCGGATGGGCATATAAAGGAGATGAAGTTGTTTGTTAAAAAGATATATTTATAATATTAACACTTGCTAATGAATACTTTATTGAGTTTTCTAATTTTGTGTACCCATAAATACAAATATATATAACTTCCTCTTAAATTATTTCATCAAACAAAAAGGATCCATTTTAACTGGTGAGTATTTTTATATTATTTGTTAAGGATTTTTCCGATAATAACTATCTTTACATACCTAAATATCTCTCTCTTAATAAGGAACATTTTAACCACAACTTTGATTACATGCAAATTAATTTACGTATAGGTACTTATAAAAAGCTGAATTAAAAAATAAAGCTTTGTTAGGCATAAATAATTATCTGATAAAAATGGAAATTGTTATACGAAAATTGTTGCCTCTTTAAACTTATTTTAACTAAAAAGATAAATTTTAAGAATTAAACATCAAAACATTGGTGCCATTTTCATTACGACATTTTAAAATTATAATTCGTACAGGATATTTTCATTAAATAATTCATAATTTTAAAAAAAATACTCTGCTATTCAGTTTTTTTTTTCAATTCAAAGTAATATTGGGGTTGAAAGTGCTTTACTTATTTAAAAACCACAGCCGACGTTTCGCCCAGGTTGTTGAATTTTTTCAAGACTAATTTTTTAAGTTGATGCTTGGTATATTTTCTAAGATCAACAAGTAATTTCTGTTGATTCAGCGAATCCATTGGCATTATAATTTTAACTTAAAAAACTAACCTTGAGAAAGACCAACAACCTGGGCGAAACGTCGGCTGTGGTTTTTAAATGAACAGATCAGTTTTAACCCCAATATAAAATAGAATTTTTAATTATAATTTAAATTATAAATAGTAACACCAACTTTGTACATGTAATATATATTATATCCGCTTATATAGTCTTCTTATCAGGGCCTCATGAAACCGGCGATATAATGTATTTCTTATCTAAGTACCTACATCTTTAAATGTTGTCATCAGATATTTCCTAAGTTTCATGATTGAATTTTTTAATGTACCTTATATACTTACTTAAATTTCCTGCGGGTTCCTATAACATTAACTGTACATTTATTTTAAAACAATCTCAGGTGTCTTCACTTTTTATATTTCAATTAATTTTTTCATAAGCATTATATGCAGTGATTTATAATAATTGAAACAGACGAACAATAGATTCAAGGTACAATATTTCATATGTGCAAATTGTATTTATAATAATAACAAAACATACTTACACTCCCTTAATATTTTGTGTTAGAGTTAAACATCGTATAGATCAACTAGTGTACTTATAGATTACCAGTAGAAACAGAAAATGAAAACATTTAAGACTTATTAGTGATTTATAAGGAGTGTTACATTGTATGTTTGAAACTTAAAAAAATCTTAATTCCTTGTTATATGTATTATATACATCAAGTATTTGTATAACTTTATCACCTTACATATCCAAAAGAAAACATGCAGCATTATGTATATTAACATGAAAGTTTATCACTTTATACTGAATTAAATGGACAACTATTTCTTCGTATTTTTTTATAAAATAAAGATATTAAGAATTAATTCACCAATTTTTCACAAAATATGTAAAAATCAGTTAGTATAGTTACCCAAATCAAATGTACTTACAAGGGCTTTCATATGATTACAAAAAAAATCAAAATAAAAACTACAGCGCTTTATATTTTTTTGACCTTTATACCAATCACTTATTATTAAGAAATTATTTCTCTAAAGCAAATTTTCATACAAGTATAGTATTGTTTATTATATTATATTTCAATTCTGTAATGCCTTATTGGTATTTTTTGAAATAAAGCGCGGTTTATTAGTAAATCATCAAATTATGAACCTTTCCGCCATCTAGCATGCTTTATGAAAACAATGTAAACCGAGCTATTCATTTGCAGGGCGCGTACATGTAAAAACATTTAAATTACGGCGCTTTTGTTTTATTTATAAAAGCAATTTAAAGTAATCAGTAAGAAATTATAATCAAGGTTTAGAACAGTATCTGGAAATCGATCTAGACTGTTCATTAAATTGAAACTATTTAATTTTTTAACGACAAATATCTCATACTTGGCTAAAATATTTTATCATGAAAATAGCAAAAGTACGACTAATTAATGCTTAAGGTACTTGACATTTTAATGTAATATTAATGTTATATTTTAAAAATGAGTTTTCTTTTTCTTAACATGAAAACAGACAAATATTACAAAAAATAAAGAACATACTGGCGTCAAAAAGTAATTTGAGGAAATTAAGACAAAGCAAAAATAATTTGAATGTTCTTTACGTAAATGTATGTCAGACAAAGCAAAAACGAAAGAGGTTTCAAATATTTTTTCATTTTAACATTGGATGACGAATTTAAAATAATGTGAAACGTCAAAAGCATGTCAGTTGAAAGAGTGTAAGAGAGACGGAATAGTCCGTTGTCTTCGTTAGTTACGTTTTAAGCCTATACAGGGTCAGCTGTCTGCTTTAATAGTTTTTATTCCGTTTGTTTGATTGTTTGTGTGCAGTGGGGGTTAGAAAGAACGATGGCTGCAGGTTGTTGTGGTTCGAAAAAACAGAAATTAAACAATTCAATTAGTAGCATTTCAACATATAATGGTCTTTCATCATCTTTAAACGGTTCCCTCAACGGAATGGTCGCGTTACCTGAAATGTGCTTCTTTTGTTTTGACGTCCTCTATTGTCATCTGCATAACCTCGATCCACCAAAAACTCCTTCGTTTAGTAACGATGCATAGTAAGCAATTTTTAACATTATAAACTTCTAACTAATAGCTATTTGTATCAAGTTATTCATTTTTCCTGTCAGTTTAATAAATCATGGAAGTGTGGTGATATCACTTTTCTTTTCAGTCCTTTGTTTGTAACTTGGAACATTGGCAAAGACAAACGTCTTCGAGGATGTATAGGCACATTTAATGCCATGAACTTGCAGACGGGCTTGCGCGAATATGCTATTACTAGTGCTTTCAAAGACTCCCGTTTCAATCCAATTACAAAAGAAGAATTTTCAAAGTTGAGTGTATCCGTATCGATATTGAGACATTTCGAAGATGGAAATGATTACTTGGATTGGGAAGTGGGTATCCATGGCATTAGAATCGAATTTATAAACGAAAAAGGAAACAAAAGAACTGCTACATATCTTCCTGAAGTGGCAACAGAACAAGGTAATTCATTAATTATTTGCATCGACATCAGGTAATTTTACCAGTTAATGACAGCTTGTAATATATCACAATATATAAACAGATAATACACTTTACTAGACAAAAGGTTAATGGAAATGGGATAGAAAAATGCATTTAAAATCCTTTATTTGTACAGAAAAACTGATAACCGTAGTAAATCAATATGTGCAGGAAATCTCTCACAGATAGATAGATATATAACAGAATATCTGCTATCTGAAAGCTTCAGGTTCAAGAGTTTTGAGAAAAGTAATATATTCAGACAAAGAAAATAGTGTTTTCTTTTGTGCTGCACTGATTTTGATAAGAAGAAACTACCGAGATTGACCTAAATATAAAAAGGAAGTTAGCAAGAAAATGCATGAATGATAAAACAGACTACATTTACTGAATAAAAGTCTGTTGATGATGATTAGTAATGAGGAACAGCAGCAACAACGATCTTACTACCCTGCAAAAACTACATGAGAAGCTTCTTTAGTTGTCACAAGTACGAGGATATAAGCAACTCTACCTTTACATGCCATTCACACCACAACTATCTAAGGACCCAAACGTTTCTTCCCAGATTGTTATGTCTTTTAAAAGATAAAAAAAATCCTCAGTATATTGGTTCTCATTGAACTGTACACCCGACTTTACCCATGTTTCCATCATCGTATGGAACTCAAATTAAGTTTATTGTAATCAACTTAAAGTGTACTTCAATTCACCACAAGATGATACTCATCCACCTGCAGGTCATTTCATATAATGATCTCGCTATTCTCCTTTGCTTTGTTTTTAATGTCACAAACATTCTACTTTTGATGATATAGTTTTATCTACAGATACTTCTATAGAGTCTATTACAAAAAATATATTCTTATCAAAGTCAGTGTAGTCAGTCAGTCGATATTTCTAAATTTTCTTTTATTCCAAAGGCCATTATAATATTTCAGAGTTTTAATGCTGTGATAAAACTTATTGCACTATACAATTGCCGTTTATGGACCTTATATAATTTAGAACCTCTTTTTAACAGGTTTTCAAGTTAAGTTAATGTTCTTAAGATTTGACCTATTTACCTTACCTACTTAATTTAATTTTAAAGCACTTTTAAGATTTAATCTTTTAATAAAATCAAACAAGAAACTATTTTATTTTAAAGTTTTTTACTTTGACGTTTACTAAGAAAATAAAAAGCAGTAAAACCATGATTTTATATTCTTGAACTTTGGCAACATTTTTTTAATCAATTTCTTAGAATTAGTAAGTTAGCTGCTCAATGGTAAATAAGGAGTACATCATTTTCATTTAATTATAGGTATTACTGAATTAATTTATACAATTATAAATAATTCATTGATGTAAGTATGTGTAGTACAACTCAATTGAATTCAAGCCAATTAAATATAGAAATAGTTTAATTAACGATTTAAATGTATTTATTTAATTTAAGAAAACAAAATATACATTTAGATGTTATATTAGATTCCCTGTGATAATATTGACTGAGTTCTTTCATCTGAAGAAGCTGCCGTGTGATGAGGTATTGCCAAACTTGTAATTTATTCAATTTTATTTTATAAAATATGTCTCGTGGAACAATTATAAATACTTATTATTTATTGCAAACAGACGCGTATACTAATTATTCCGAGAAGATTACACGTTTATACTTGGCTAATATCTATAAGTCTATTAAATAACTAAGTTCTGTCCAATTTTTGGTAGTGGACTTTAGCCTAATAGCCCTTACGACCGTTTCCGTATACGCGACTGATTGCAAGTGTAATTTACTGATTAGAGGATTTATTAAAAAATAAAAAGAATCATAAAAACGATGAAGGCGAAGTAAACCGTAAAAATCATTCTACTCCAGGTTGGGATCACATTCAGACAATAGATTCACTTCTTCGAAAAGGCGGCTACAAATCCGCTATTTCACACGATTTAAGACGTAGCATAAAATTGACCCGTTACCAGAGCGAGAAGATAACAATGAGTTATCACGACTACATGAACCATTGTAACAACCAGCGGTGCTAGCAGCTAGTGTGGGGGCGCCCGACCGTCGCGCCTCCACAAGTCGCCGCCGCCCCCTATTGCTACCCCGTCGCCACCGCCGCTGCCACATATCGAGCACCTCCTACGGTCGTCATGGTACAGCCGACGTACTCGTCACCACCGTATTTCTTACAACCACCCTTCATCGTACCGTCCGGCCCACTAACGACTGCGGGTGGCACCGCGTGGTGGGGCGGCCAACAACAGGATTATGTCCCACAACAACAACAACAACATCATCAGCATCACAACCATCTCCATCATCCCCCGCATCATCACCATCATCATCACCATAATTTCCATGTGTTACCCTTTACGGATGGGGCAGATAGGAACAGATATCGACCTTTGCCCGACGATCGAAAGTTCAACTGACACAACAGGGGACGCTGTCGTTTCGGAAAAAGAAAGGGCTAAAGTGCTGGAGATAATCTTGGAGAGAGGAAAAGCGAAAAAGTCTTTTTTCAACACCAAATGATAATTTAAGTTCGAATGGTGAATGGGTCAGATTTTCGCGTTTGCCTGTCTGCAAACAAATAGACACCCTGATGTCGTCTATGTGCTCGATAATACAGTTATGTACATGAGAGGTGTTATAAGTTAATAAAAGGGTTTTCATAAAAAAAAGCATTTCGAAACATCAAACTATAATTTCAGTCATGTATTCCAATTCCCCATAAATCTTATACAATGGTTACAAAGTTAACCGTTTTTTAAGTTATATTTTTAAGGTGTTTCGATATCCTTTTTTTTCCAATTAAAAATACTTATTGTGGATCAGATATGGGTACGTTTCTCTAATGAATTTATTAACAATCGAGCTAAGTTTAGCTCGTATTAGAATCATATACATATATTGCCATTATGATAATTACTATTATCACAATGGTAAAATTGCAATAGCTCTTGAGACTATGTTTAGCATTTTTCGGGGAATATGTTAGTTAAGTCAGAAAAAGTGCTCCATTCAACTTATTGTGTTGTATCTTTTTGTTCTTGTTTTGATTTTTTTGAATCATAACTAATTATTTGACCAATTATGAGTTTTTCAATTTTATTGCCTTTTTCTTGAGGATATTTTTATTTTTACAACGAATTTTTCTGAACGTATTCTTGTTAAATTATATTACTTGATTGAACAAAAGCGNCAAAATTTGATTACACGCATTTTTAAAAATTTATGCATAAAAAACGGAAAAGGATAAGCCTAATGTTCAATTTCTTTCAACTTAAAATTAAAAAAAGATTTAAAGCAGTTCTTTAAAAAAAGGAAAGCCACAAGGATGGTATAAATTTAAAAATTAAATGCATTTTCAATTATTAAAAATTACGTTTCTTACATTTGTGTCTTTCTATTAAATTCTCGTTTGTTAACAATCTTTAAAATAGTAGAATTAGGATTTAGTTTTTATTTAGAAATTACTGTTATAAAATTAAAGCTGAACTTTCATCCAATGACGAAAAGTACAAAAAAAATATTGCTAGAATTAATCTGTTCTTAAGCTTTACATATAGACGTATAAAAGACAATTTCCTGTTAATTAACAGCATGAATAAATGGTTTCTTTTATAAGCAAATACTTTTCAATTTCTTCTTTGCCCACTTATGTGTTTTATACCATTAAACATATTCCCATATACATATATAGTGACTAACATTATGTTTCGCGATTTATTTATTTAAACATCTTATGATTGTTGGTTATATATTTTTTTTGTGTTGACAATTACAAAAGTAATTAACATTAGTGATTTCGATTTTAAACCATTCCAGGTTCATATTAGTTAGTAAAGATATACACAATGAGAAAAGTTACTTTCGTAAAAAAGATTGATTGGTGGTAAATACTAAAACAATAATTTACTAAATTCCATTAGTAAAGTAAGAATTCATTAATTACTTTTGTTAATTATCTCAACACCAATAGAAAACGGGATGAAAAAATCACGCATGGAAAAGTTTTTTTTTTAAGTGGGAACATTTTTTTAATGTTCTAAAATCTTGATGTATTTTACAATTTAAAAGTATATTCCATTTTAGACCATGTTTAAAAGTAATATATAAATGTTACTGTTAATATGTAGGATCGTGATGGATTTACTTTATGATGATTGAAATTAAAGTGAATAGTTTTATTTACTTAAAAATAATACAATTAAAATTAGCTTTTTGTTTCTAACTACAAAAACATTAATATAATTGAAAATATTAGCTGTAACATTTATTATTTTATTGTGGAAATACGTTAGCTGTTTATTATATTCCTTATTGCAAGAGTGATCTATTTATGAAAGATTTTATTGATTTTAATAAATATGCAAGATATAAGACCAAAAGAATTATTATTCTAAAACTTACTATTATTAATTACTGTTATTTTTAAATCCCATTCTATCAAATATAGGTCACCTTGTATATTACATTTACCATTGTGCATTATTATTATTGTTGTACAATTTCAGTTAAATTTACGTGCTAATTAATGTTAATATTGAATTGCTGTCTTAATGTAAGGGCATGTCGGGAAATATAATTATTGTTAATAATGTAAAATTAGTGGTGGCATAAAAACTAATATTATTAGACATCCCATAATCCCGATTCTTCGTGTGATCATGTACTTAAAACATTTAAAAATTGAACGATTTTAATTAAATGTAAAGCTTCCACTTTCTATTGAAGGCAAATTGTATTTTTTTTTTTGGGAATCAACCGAATAACTTTCCATTTTGTAGTAAAGGAAAACATTTTTATAACGTTATTGTCGTGGTGCGAATTAAACTTAATGATGGAAAAGAAAAATAAAAATCACTGCCATTTTAGCTTCGTGGTAGTAATAATTTGATTATTCGATGTACTTTTGATCTCGTTGTTGCTTCATCCATCAAAAATAAAATAAGAAAAAATAAAAAATAAATGAAAAGAAATCAGACTTAGTAAGCATATGATTTTGCTATCCGTTTAAGATACTGTGATTCGGATGAGGGCAGCAACCGTTCCATGCCAGCACTAGTTATTAAAAGTCGATGAAAATCGAAGTTGTTAATTTGGTATAACTCAATAGAGTCTAGGTTGTCTAACAACAGGAGTGTCTCAAAATCAGGTTTAAGGGGACATTTTGCCAGTAGCTAAAAAAGTAGAAAAAATCATTCTAAATTAGATTAAAAATATAAATAGAGTTGGCATTTACAAACTAATAGTTTGGAAACCCAAATTTATTGATGTAAGACGTCTTTGACGTGTCCAGGAGGTAAGAAAACCGATTCACGCGTAGCAAGACAGGGCGACACTCTTGCACTGAACGACACTTCATTCGGCCAACCTCGTAACTCGTCGGTTCTTTTTACCCAGCCGCTGAAACTACTCAGGGAAGGCCGACTCAAGTGTGGCGTTAAATAAGAGTATCGACTTGTTTATTTTCATTTTAACTTCCTCCAATAAAGATCTGTACTAATGTTTCATTTCTGCCAGGTGTCCCATGGCGGCTATAATATAAATGTAGTTTTTTTATTTTATTTCCTTTTTAGGCACTGGGCAAAATGTCCATGTGCCTCTCACTCAGGTATACAGGGCTTAAAACGCCATTAGTGCAATATCCAGCACGCTACTATGTAAGTAATTAGCGGTACCTTTAAGTAGGGGTTAATAGAAAAGCGCTTGTCCATTCGCGTTAAAAACCGTGCCTATTTTAAGATGCTGGATATACAAAAGAAATAAAACAACATGCCATTTTCACTATTGAAGAGACACAACATCTAGTAATAATTTATCATCCTAACTTAAACAGTAATCACGATTTAAACATTGTTAGAGATAAGTCGTGTGCATTCTAGTTGGGTTTAAAGGTTGAATAATAAAAATACATTTTTTAAAAAGTTTTAATATCGTTTGTTTTCATTTCTTACAACTAATATGAACACTATCTAATAAGGTAACAGTTAGTATTACTTTTTTATTAGGTGTTATTTAACGATTTATCCAACTTTAAAAGTTCATTATTTACGTTAAACACTGAGCGCGCCTCTAAATGGGTCACAAGGGCACCTGCAAGAGCTTGTCCTAAGAAAATTGCAAACAAAATGTTGCCAATAGGTCTAGTTTTTGATTGCCAAAACTTGAATGCTTTTAATGGCTCTTTGGTCACATAAGGAACATCATAAGTACCATATCGCAATGCAAGCTAAATAAAAAATGAATAACTACATTATTGGGATATTATTTCAATTATAAATTCTTAATATACCTTTAACGTTTTATCTACTGTTACTTAAAAAATTAGCACAATTACTCACGGAAAAAGACGCAAATGGAGCTAACAAACTTGGTGCAACTACGCCTGCAAAAGTTTGAAATGCTGCTGCTCTCAATTGCAAACAGACTGGGCACTCATTTTGTAGAACAACCCCCCTTAGCACAAACTAAAAAGCTTTTTAAATCAGAATAGAGAAAGGAAGTATCATTTAGTTTTGTAATGTATAAAACTATTACTTTATTATTATTAATTAAATGTCATTTGTTTTTATAATATATAAAACTATCGTTGTATTATCAATTTTAATTATTGTAATTACCTGATCATGGAAGAACAGACACGTAACAGAAGGAATTGTGATAGTTGAGAGATAGCTTGCAATTCGACCATATGAAAATAACCTTACTTTTAGTCTATAATGACTGTTTAAGTAACCTCCTACGAAACCACTTATTGCAGCTAATACAAATTTTCCATAACGGTACGCCCACCTAATTTTGTTAATAACACGAAATGATAATTGTAAACATTAAAAAGGATATAAGTACATACACATCGTTTCCTTTTTCCCAATTTTGTAAGATTTCAGTTTCGTACTTGAAGGCATCATTTTCAGTTAAAATTATTGCGTCCAAAGGCACCTCACTAAATTTAGTTTTAATCAGAGCCATTTATAACAACTTATTTATTTCATTCATTTTCTGAATAAAGAAAAAAACGTAATTTAAGGGAGGTTAAGTACATAGGGTTTCATCAGTTCTATGGAGTTCATTAACCTTGCGTACATTGAAACCATACGAAACGAATAGATAAAATTCAAATGTCAATTCATTTCATAGAACTTTATAAACTGCTGACATCTGTGTGCATTTATGAAAACGAGAGGATGCACATTCCTGTTTAACGAAGCGCACGTTGCGCACATCAAATTTTTGAAGTAAATAAACATCAGTTATGCCGCCATATTCTTAGTTAGATATACCTAGTTGATAATTAGGATAGTTCTTTAAATAGGTTTAAGAACTTATAAATAGGCTTAGTATAAGAATTCACTTTAAATTACAATGGAATTCAAGATAGAACCAAAAATGGAAGAATACGAGTACGGGTATGTAGAAATTTTCTAATTTCATGTTTCTCTCTAAATGACACTGGTGGCGCCTTTTATCACGTCATCTTAGCGGTCTCGAATTGACGGAAGTCGTTGAGCTGCCATTGTAGTTTGATAGTTTGGAAACAGTGTATGTAATTAAGATCCGAAATAACCAGTTAAAGCTGTTTAAGTGTAGTGATATTAGTTGTATAAAATATTATGCGAATGTTGAGAATACCACAAGAAATGGATGAAGATGAAAAAGGGTATCTTGAGTCCTTTCGTTAAATTTTTAGCATGGCTGGTTATGGCATGACTGCGTGTAATTTTAGGTCATTAATCGTGTATCAAGTAACACAATATTTTGCTAGTACTTTTGCAAAATGAGCCCCAAAACAGTATCTTAGTGAAAAATCAATAACGTTTGCACGTGTAATGATCGTTTCTATCCTGTAGAAGTTTCCATTGTATAGTTTGCGTTCACCGACCCCAAGCTCAAGAGCGGTCAAAGAACGAGTCGTTAAATATGCTACGAAATTTTAAAAAGATTTTCTAATTTTTATGTTGCAATTTACATTACAATTACTGTATCCGTGTTGGGTATACTTTTCTTTACCTTTTTATTAATGAATCTTACCGCCGTTTTTCTATTTATTACGAAATACGTATAAATTTCGCAATTTTCTTCTCAAGTGTGCCTATTTAGAACTTCTTAGAACAAGAACATAATATAAAGACTGTTATAAATACCGGATAATTCTCTAGTCTTTTTTTTATAAACCATAATTTTCACTTAATAGTGAGTACCTACTTATATTGCAAACAAAATTAAAACTTATTTGATGATGCAGAAGTACACGGCTTGGTATTTATTAATTAATTTTCAATAATGTTTCATGATACAGTAAACATTAAGATATAAAATATGATAAACATTCGTATTGTTACATTTTTAGCCACATGAGTACCTATTAATTAGCATTCTCGTTTAACCATTTATGTTCTCTATGCATAGTTTATAATGGTATCTATAAATGAATAATAGACTATTTTATATTGTTAACTTTTTGAAAATTACATATGGTTTATGTGATGAATCCATTTCAATCTTTAAATCGTTGAAAATGTAAGTAAATAGGTACATGCATAAAAGATGTTCCCAAATTGTAAATACGTATTAAATTTTCGAATATCAGTGATATATTTTTAATTATATAAATGGTGTACTTGCAACATACCTATTCTCCACTTTATAATACCTTCCTATGTTCTTATGTTTCAATTGTATCCCAAGTCGTTTTTAAATTATCTGAAACATCGTATGATCCACAATTTTATTTAAAAAGAATTTTTAATTAATAAAATAAATAAACAAGTAGTGTTACGTAGAAAAGAGTTTCGATTTTATTTGTTAGTTACAAATATTATCGATAAGTATATAGAGAAAATAAAAAAATCTATTTTAAGGAAACTTTTTGTTGGTGGTCTATCTTGGGAGACATCCCAAGACAATCTTCAAAGGTATTTTTCAAGATATGGGGAAGTTATTGATTGCGTTGTTATGAAGAATGCAGAATCAGGACGATCACGAGGATTTGGATTTGTGACTTTTGCAGACCCTGCAAATGTAAATGCTGTCTTACAAAATGGACCACATACTTTAGATGGAAGGTAAATATATATATTTCTAATTGTTGTTAATAACATCTACTACAGTACCTAATAATGTTACCATTTTTTATTCTTATAGGACTATTGACCCAAAACCCTGCAATCCGCGAACGTTACAAAAACCGAAGAAAGGGGGCGGTTATCCTAAAGTATTCTTGGGAGGGTTGCCTTCTAACATTACAGAAACAGACCTAAGGACATTCTTCACTCGCTATGGCAAAGTGATGGAAGTTGTTATTATGTATGATCAAGAAAAGAAGAAATCAAGAGGTAAACTGTTATGGTCTTGAATATTTAATATTTATTTCATAAAGGCAACAGCTTTAAGCCAATATGTAGTATGGGATATATTCTTATTGTGGATCAGATATGGGTACGTTTCTCTAATGAATTTATTAACAATCGAGCTAAGTTTAGCTCGTATTAGAATCATATACATATATTGCCATTATGATAATTACTATTATCACAATGGTAAAATTGCAATAGCTCTTGAGACTATGTTTAGCATTTTTCGGGGAATATGTTAGTTAAGTCAGAAAAAGTGCTCCATTCAACTTATTGTGTTGTATCTTTTTGTTCTTGTTTTGATTTTTTTGAATCATAACTAATTATTTGACCAATTATGAGTTTTTCAATTTTATTGCCTTTTTCTTGAGGATATTTTTATTTTTACAACGAATTTTTCTGAACGTATTCTTGTTAAATTATATTACTTGATTGAACTAAAGCGTTTCNATTTCGTAAACTTAAATGGCAAACAGGTACTTTATAACTTAATTATATTTTTATGTATCGTATGCTTTTTTTCTTATTTCTAATTGGATTTATTTTAATAAACTATCTGTAGGTGGAGATTAAGAAAGCAGAGCCTCGAGACGGTTCGGGAGGTAATAAGATGGGGGGCACTGATGCCAGTAACTGGGGTCCCCCACAGGCACCAATGGGTATGATGCAAGGCCCTAACGGTCAAATGGGAGGTCCTCCAATGAACTTAGGGGCACCAATGGGCCCTAATATGATGCAGAGTTATCAAGGGTGGGGCACATCACCTCAGCAGCAGAGTTATCCAGGTTACGGGACACCATCTGGTCCTGGTTCATATCAGGGCTGGGGTGCGCCTCCCGCCCCCCAAGGACCTCCTCCTCAGTGGGGTAACAACTACGGAGGACCTCCTCAACAACAAGGCTACGGATCTTATGGAAATCTTGGTGAGTTAGTCAAATGCCAATTAAAAATGTCTTCACTTTTTTATCTTTGATTAAATAGTTTTGTCAAAACAAAAAACCATAAATGGAGACCTTGACATTAAATTTGGAATAGATCGTTATTTAAATTTCTAAAAACTTGTATTGTTCATAATTTAGAATTAGTTTTGTTTAAAACGTACCTTGTATTAAAATCACGTTGATTTGTATTTTTATATTTTATAAGTTGTAAAGTTAGGTATTGTTTTACAAATTATTTATTTAATAATATAAATCACTTACTTTGCTATGCAAATTAAAGTTATTTATTGATCACTAGAATTATTAAATAATAAATTAGAAATTACGATTAATACTAAAAATTTCTGACACTTTTCAATGCGTTGAATGGTATTGCAGAAAATAGGTCATCTAGCAAATATTGTCAACAATCTCTATATACTGCTATTGCAATTCACAATTCAGAAATGCATTAATCAGTTTTTTTTTGTAAACGACGATGTGCACACAGAATTCGTGTTACTGCTGATGGTGCCCATTAAACTAAAATATGCATTTCGAGTTGCTGATAAATGAAGAAAACCACTTTTAGTTACAATTTTTCACTAAGAGTTCGACGAAATAGTTTCTTACATTAAATATTTTTCCTTTTTTTTTAATAATCCCTTTGTCATACCTTTCCTATCCATAATGGTATTGCTCTTAACATTCATACATGCAATGTACTTTTCAGTGAACAAGTAAATTTCAACTTTACAACTTTTATTTGATTTCTGAAGTCTGTAATCGCTGGTTCATGCTTTCAAAGAAATATATTAAAACGTGGATTTTGAATATTATTTTTTTCTACCACGAGTCCTTCAACAATACGTCACATTAAAAATCTGTTCTAATTTTATCGACATAATCATAAAGAAATTGGAATATTGTCGACGACTGTACCGTCTTTTTTGTTATTTCTCATTGTTGAAGGTCCTGGTACGGGAAGCGGTGCTAACTGGAATAGTTGGAATATGCCGCAAAACAACCAGTCGACTGGCCCTTCAGGTGAGTCCGAAACCGAAAAAGAAAAGTGTACTTTCTGCTTTGTGTTCAAAATTAACTTAACTCAATCGATGTTTATAAGTTGTTTCTTTTTTTTGCACTAGAAATTATTGTTTTTATTTTTGCAAAATTAGAAGTAGCTGATCTGCTTAAATGAGATAAAAAAGTTAATGTTTTATGGTTTAAAAGCACAAGCATTAACCAAATAGCCTTCGCTGAGAAATAACAAAAGTAGATATGTATGCACGGTTTTGGAGTAAAGTTCAGACAATTATTAAATTTTACGACAACGTGTAATTGTGAGAGATAATGTGTAAGCATTATACAGAATTCTTGGTTTTAACTTCTCCACAAAAAGGAAATTCCGCAAAAATCACCAGACAAATTTGTAACCCAGTGTACATCAAAGCCATTCTAAAGTTATTATGCTTTTAAAGAACAGTTCTTATTATCCCCAACAGTTACTTCCTTAAATGTTTACTTCCACTTATCAAGAGATAATTACCTCCCTATTGAACTAATAAGTCGTAAGTTCAATTTTTCACTATTTCATTTTTAAGTATGTCAGGTATGAGACTTCTCCCATTTTCTCGTCTTAATTCCTTCTTTTATCTCCTTTAGTTTTTTGTCCTCACCATTTCCCACCAATTTCTTCCCTTTTTGAAAACGAATCATCCTTTCCATTGGAAAGTTTACACTAAATAAGTTAACTCGATTTTCAATTGATTTCTTTGTCTGATTCAACAAATTCAAATAATTTGGAGAAATTTGTTATTTATGATACTTAATAAAGATTAATACCTAATAATTTTTAATCTGTAGAAGATTGGACATTAATTCACATTAATGTTTAAAAATTATTAAATTCAAGTAAATTTAAATGAACTTGTCAAAAGTACGAAATATTCAGAATTGCAAGAAGATGAAGAAAAATATAGAAAATACTTTATGAATCTTGGATCTTTGCTGTTTGTTTTATTTGAAATAACAAATAATTGTGCAAACCAGAAAAGTGCTATTATCACAATTGGCAGATTGATTAATTGCATAAGTGGAAAAAGCAAAGTTTTATATTCTCTTTGATTTAAAGTAATACAGATTATTAAAAAAAAGGGTTCCCTCACTGCAAGCATAAACTTTGAACGCATTCTGTACGATATTTAAAACTTTTTACTTCCATATACCCCATGAAAATAATTGTATCGTTGAAAATGTTTTGGTAAAATAAAGCTCTTTGGGGTCGTTTATAAATTGCTATGAAAGGAAGAATCCTATATTTGCTAACCCTCTTTTACAACAAAAAAGTTTAAAATTTAAAAAATCGCTTTATTGTCCATAGATTAGTGCTTGTCAAAAAGTTGCACATCATCGAAAAGAGAGTGTAATAAACACATTTTGATGTGCATTAGATTGAAGTAGTTGCTCATATCATAAAATTAATTTTTAAGGAAATTTAACTTACGTAAGTGTAAGCTCCCCCTCCTCCAAGTAAAAGTTCATAAAGTTATAATGGACTTCTCCCTCTGCAATCCTTATGTAATTTATAAACGACCTCGTTGCACTGTTACTACTTTCCTTAATATAATGTCATTATCAAAAGTAGTGACAGCGCAAAAGGAACTGTTAATATCAAATATCAATAAGTAAAATTCAAAACTATAAAATTCCTGAAAACGTTTAGGTTCAAACTTATCCTATTTATCCTTTTTTTTATCTTTATTCATGATAGGGTACTAGTGCACATTACAACATTGTGATCGTTATAATTAATAAGAATGGTATTGTAATGTGGCTTCGTTATCCATAAACGTTATACTAAATTATTAGTCTGACGCTTGGTCTAATTGTTGCTGACAGGTTATCTTGCAGGGGACATGTATTCCCGACAACAGTCGGGCCCGGGTGCACCGACCACTCCTACTGCGCCTCACAACATGTCCTCGACGAATGCGGCCAACTCGAAGCCCGGCTCGGACTATTCTGGCTACAGCTACGGCTCCTACTCGGCCGACCAGTCCAACTACGGCATGCAGCCGAGGTCGTACGGCAGCGACGCGGCAGGATCGCAACTGGGCGGATACTCGTCGCAGCCGCCCAGCGCAGGTGCTAAACATTTCAATGATTTTAAGGAGTGGCCCAGTTCCTGACAACCTTTCGACAACAACAGCGACGCGTGCTCGGCCGCTATCGCCGTTCCCCCAGCCTCCCATCACCACATGATGACGACGACATCCAGTCGTGTTCTCAAGACCGTGTACGTAAACGGCGGTGGGGGGGTCGTCGCTAACAAAGGGTTGGGGGGACCGTTGCAACAGACGGTTCCACCGACCATACCCGACGATCTTGCCTACGTCGACGACGATCAACAACACAAACATAACGGTCGGAAAGAACTATCGGCTTGTCGATCCGAGGGAGGAGGTGGAGGAGGAGGCGTGGGATCGGCGACGTCCAAGCACGCGGCCGCTGCGAATAACATGAATAATAATAACAATATTAATAATAATAATTTACCTAGTAACGTGAACATGTGTTGGAAACGTGTCGGCCTGATTAATCCGAAGAAAACAGCCGGACTGGTCACTCCCGTCAAACTCAATTACTCTGATTATTCTATCAAATATAG